GGATTTGGCGGGAACAGTTCCGTACATGTTCGAGCCGCAATCATGGGTTCGAAATCGGATAGAGGAATGTCAACCTTTGAGTGTTTGGCTAGCTAGGCCGATTAGTATTCCATTTTGCTACTATTTATGTCCTTACACTTGCATGTAGGGCACATCCCAGTCAATGTTCAATCACTCTACTACTAGGTCAAGGGCCCAGGAAAACCTTGTGCGACCCTTCCTGTGCGTTGACCTTGATACGTTCAATCTCAAGTCGCAGCGATGCGTTACTACAGTTCGTTAAAAATAATACTGCAATTGGAAAACAAGTTCAAGGCTGTACTTGTTCATTCAAAACTCCTGAACACCAAACCTATTAATGAAAGACAAACTACGCCGATCAAACGACCTAACCACATGCAGCGTGCGCAAGATGGATTGCGCCTCAACAATCTGATATCGTACGTCACGCTGCGACTCGTGCAGCACTGTGCACGATGTGACCGCGTCCACATCTCCAACTTCGTAGTATCGCACCATTGCATAGGCCTTCTTCACTGCACGCCCGTCCTCAACAGAATCCACATGGAACAAGAGCATCAGCTGTGCGAACCACGTTGTAATCACCTCAGCTCCAAGCGGCGCACTTTCGTTCCCCAAAATCGCAACATAGGAGAAACAAGGTGCGTTATGGAACGTCAATGCTGCCCGTGCGTAATGCGCCTCGTAGTCGTCCCCTGGTGGTAGTGCGATCGAGGTATGTACCTGGAAGGATAAGGCAAACGATCGTTTGTTGAATAATCACAACAGTGTAGAACGTCCGGTTGGGTATGGAGGAGTACAACAAGTCAAGAACAAACCATACCTCCACAGACTTGGCAGGCAGCTGCTGACTCTTGAGCAACTCAGGAAGCGAGCGCATTCCCGTCCCATGATGGTTGACGAACGAGTCCCACAAGGCATCTCCCACAACCCCACCCTTGCGGCACGGCAGAACCATGGTGTTGTGTCGGGACGTCAGCACGTGTGTTTTGAGAGAGATGGCCTGGAATTTAAGAGGGTTCCATGTAGGGAAAAAGATGCCAAGATTTGGATCAGGGTGACACACAAGATACCAGTGGGATAGAAACAGGATGCATTAACATACGAACTACTGTACCTTCATGAGGGCGGTGTCGTAACGCTTGCTCTGCAGCAGAGAAGTTGGCAACAGAGACAGCGCGTTGCGCATCACCGCGCTGCGCATGATTGCTGCATCATACTCTCGAAAGTTGGATGCTCGAAATGGTCGTTTACATGAGGCAGTGTGTGCATGCTCGAACAGGCTAGTGCAGAACTCCCTAGGCAAACCGCCTCGCCTAATCGAATCTGGGAAGTGCAGCAGCAAATGTACTTTCACAAGCTTCCACCCATTTCCCCCGCGTGGCAGATTGTGTACCAACAGTCGGATCAATCTGCCAATGAAATGGCAAGGCATGAGATACAATGGTATAAGCAACCAATCTGTACAAACATCCAATCGGGCAACTCCCAACACATTCAATACATGTAGGACAAAACACTTACTCTTGGGTGTCAGTCACATATTTCTCCAGCGATGCCTTCGTGTAGGATGTTGCCCTGAAGTAGGTGTCGAACCAGTTCACAAAGAAACGCAGAATATACATTCCCGCACCGGAAATGAGTCCTTCCATAATGAACACGACCACCTGGATTACACAATACCACACGGTGGGTAGAATGGTCAAACTAAACATACAGTGGGACGAACGTTACTATCTAATAGGGGAAACATACTCACCCGCAACATTCCTGCATGATCCGATGCTGAGAAGTTGGCTCCAAGGCTGAAGTAGCGTCCAGGGGGGGGTAGCGGAATGCCTGCTGATCGCGCCTCCCGGTAGAGATCCCGATGGCGTCTGCCAGTGGCAATACAGTAGAAACAAAGTTACTATTGCGTATATTATCCATTAAGAGAGGGTAAAGAGAAGCGCCATATTTATGAATCCACTTGCATACTTACTCGTTCATCGTTTTAACATTTTTGTTCTTGAGAAGCAAAGCTTCAAGGATGTACACCCAAAGCCCGATCAAGATCACATGTAACACATCAGGTTGGATTACTTGATACGGGTTTCCCCAATCCTTCTCAGCGTCCTTCTGCTTGCCGAAATGCCACAGAAAGGTCTACAGGGCGGGGTTGATATACGGGACACCGACAAACTATGGGTTACATTAGTTCAAGTGGCATGCGAGGCATATAATACTCCCGCACCAGCGCAATGTCAGCGTGTCATTTCGCAAACTATACATGACAGCTGTAATAATAGCCATGTTACTTACGTCCATCATAACCGTAGAATACTCTTTCGCTAGCTTAGCGTCCTTGGCGTACTTCATTTGACGCTCTACGGTCCTGTACTCGATGATGTTTGGATCCATGACGTCCAGCTGCGACTTCTCCACATAGCAGATCGAGCAAGGGCGCGCCGAGTTGTGTTGCATCGTGCATGTGACCTTGCAGGTCTCGGGATAATCAGCGATGTACTCGAACAGTTTGAACCAAACGGTCCAAACTTTGCCGTTAGGATCTGTCAAGGGCAGAGAACTACAAATCCACAACAAACACCCATGGGGAAAACGTATAAGAGTAGGAGCCGTAATTCAGCATCACGACTACATTTGGAGACAATATGCAAATAACACCATTACACATACGTTTTGCAAAACCGCATGAGGCTTTCAAACACTGCAGAACTACTCTTCTGAAACAGCTCCACTTTTTGCCAGGCTTCCATCTCAGGATCCGGACGCGGCAAGAGCGCAATCATTGTGCGACCATGCTCCTTCCATCTCGTATCAACAGGAAGATTGGCAAAGGTAAGGTATACCGGCCAAGCGCGACATCGCTCGTTACCACTCAGCGTGGTCTCATCGCTCGAAATGATGAGTGGACAGACACACTCCTTGGGTCCCAGGCCTTTCTGTAGTGGAGTAATATTGGGCGGAGTAAGAGAATGTAAGTGGCTGCACTAAGAGGGCACATGAAATAGTCAACAAAACATTCCTAACATTGTGTTTACCTGAGCACCCAACCAATAATCCCCATTGTGTGCTGCATCATACACTCTAATATCGTCCACCATCTTTTTCTTAGCGTGATGTGTGAATCCAGGAGCGTTGCGCTTATCCCCCCACATCCTTTCCAATGCCTGCCAATCAACAAACCTCTGTCAAATACAGTCAAAGATAGAACAAACTAACTACCAAACGTTCATAACCATACCTCTTTCAGATCCACTGTCTTGACTTGAAATGATGACGGCCATCCTCTTACAGTTACTTCTATCGTTTTAAACTGCTGCTTAGAAACTCCTAAGGCCTCTATCCCATACCTATCTACTGCTGCTTTTGTGGTCCACTCAGCAAGCTGTGCTGGATCAAAACCGGGCTGCTTCACTAACCTAAAAAAGTAACTAACGTCTGGACTGGCCATTCCAGTACCCTTATTGCAACTCTCCAGAAACCTAAACGTCTCCTTCTTAGTGTCGAATATAGGGCGCTCTTCCTCCTCTTCCCCAAACTCGACCTCGGCGTCACAAAAGACTTCAGTGTCATCATCGTACGACTCATCGTAGCCATCACCCCTATCTACTACCGGATCCTGCACTCCAAACACGAATGGAAATGGCGGCGTCAACTCTACACGTTCTAATGGTGGTACCAAAATCCCACGACTAGTTGGAGTGCTAAACGCATTTGCTTCCTGAAACGCTAAACACCGTTGATTACTCCTCTGGTGATTCACTAGACCTAACTCGCTCTTCAACCCCTTCCCGCAATGCCGGCATACGAAGATAAGCATGTCGAGGTTCGGGTAACTGCACATGGTAAACAGCATGTAGATTAGAGTCATCCAGGGTTTAACATAGCCACCACATGTCAAGCATCGTATACACAATGCGATAAAAGACTCATCTATACCCTTACCTCTAAGTCGGCAGGAAGCTCCCACAGCGTACGGTGTCTTGCATCAAGCCTAGCACGAACGCCTGGATGTCGGGCACGGTTCAATCTGGAAACTACCTGCGATAGAAGCAGATCTCGTAGGTTTTACTTTTGATCCTGGTCGGTTTGAGTGTGCTAAAAAGATGCAGATATGGCCAGAATCACATAATTACATGTATGGGGCGTAATATTGATGCACGTATTATAGACGCATATAGGTATACTAAATGACACATCAGGCAACGTTAGACAGTACCGGACACCCGCAGCCCAAACGCACATGCCCACGACGTCACCACAACCTAGCCCAAGGTTTGACGTATATTCAGTGTATCGCAGACGCCGCACCGAAGAGTTAGCAGGCAACATGTGTTGAGCAGACCTGTGTGGAGTTAAGAGGCACGGTACACAAAGTGAGTGGGAGGCCGGGAAAGGATATGTGGGCTGGATGGGAGAGGATGGCAGGGCAGAAGGGAGGGCAGGATGGGAGAGGAGAGGAGGGTAGGCATTGGGGAGAGAACCAGAGGGCTGGGCGGGAGAGGAGCGGAGGGTTAGACGAGAGAAGAGCGGAGGGCGTTAAGCGAGAGAAGTAAACAACCCTAACATATGATACGAAAGGGGAGGTGCACCGCAGATGGAAACGTAGTAGGGAAACGGGGGTCGCGGATATGTGAGATTCATCATTCACGGCAAAGCAAACACCAACCGTTCAGGTGTCATCCAGTCATGCATGTGATCCCAGACCGTGTATGTGCACCTATCCCGTGAGTGGAAATAAACAACTAAACTGGCGAATAAGGTTACCTTAAGCGCACAACAAGGTCGCACTCCTTCAATGTTCGTTACTGAGGGAGTGCAGCACGCCCCAAAGGCAGGCCTTTCGGCTGTGAGATCTCCTCCCGGATTCGGGCCCACACGATGGCAGGCGAAGATCGCTGGCCGATTTGGATCCGAACTGCCGTCACCACCTCCTTTGAAACGCCCGTGCTATGTCACCGGTGCAAAGAACTCGTTTATCTGCATGAATGTACAGGATGTAATAGCGAAGAAGAGCGGAGGGAAAGGAAAAGAAAGGGAGAGGAGCGGGAAGGCAGCACGGGAGAAGAGAGAGGACAGAAAGAGAGGGGAGAAGGGGGGACAGAAGGAGAGGGGAGAAGGGAGGACAGAAAGAGAGGGGAGAGGGAGGCAGGAAGGGAGAGGAGAGGGAGGCAGGCCAGAACAGGAGATGATGGCAGCACGGGAGAGGAGATGAAGGCAGGACGGGAGAGGAGATGAAGGCAGGACGGGAGAGGAGATGAAGGCAGGACGGGAGAGGAGATGAAGGCAGGACGGGAGAGGAGATGAAGGCAGGACGGGAGAGGAGATGAAGGCAGGACGGGAGAGGAGATGAAGGCAGGACAGGAGATGGGATTATGGCAGGAAGCGAGAGGAGAGGAAGGCAGGGTGAGGAAGAGGAAGGGGAAGGGGAAGCGAGATTTCCGCGTACGCACCGCGGGGGGTTGGCATGCGGATTCCGGAACCCACATGTTGCGCGACCCTACTGTTTCCTGAGATCCCACTGCGCGACACGCCTGCGAACATGGGTGGAGAAGCGAGCAGTGGAGGACGGAGCGGGAGAGGAGAGGTGTGGACACTGAGGAGGATGGGAGGGGGGGACAAAAACGGAGAGGGGAGAGGAGGACAGAAAGGGAGATGGAGGGGAGGACAGGAAGGGAGAGGAGATGAAGGCATGAAGGGATAGGATAGGAAGGCAGTAAGTGAGAGGAGAGGAAGGCAGTGAGGGAGAGAAGAGGAAGGCAGTGAGCGAGATGAGATGAAGGCATGCAGGGATAAAGAGGACAGGGAGGAGATAGAAGCGAAGGAAACCCATGCAAATTCCGATTAGGATTCTTCACACGCACCTTGCGACACAGTTGCGAATTCCGTAGCTCCCACCGTGCGACGCGGCTGCGGATTGCGCAGCTCCCACCGTGCGACGCGCCTGCGGATTGCGAAGATAGCAGGATTGGTCAGACGGGCAGCACGGGAGATGATATGAGAGCAGGAGAGGATATGAGAGCAGGAGAGGATATGAGAGCAGGAGAGGATATGAGAGCAGGAGAGGATATGAGAGCAGGAGAGGATATGAGAGCAGGAGAGGATATGAGAGCAGGAGAGGATATGAGAGCAGGAGAGGATATGAGAGCAGGAGAGGATATGAGAGCAGGAGAGGATATGAGAGCATGAGAGGATATGAGAGCAGGAGAGGATATGAGAGCATGAGAGGACATGAGAGCAGGAGAGGATATGAGAGCAGGAGAGGATATGAGAGCAGGAGAGGATATGAGAGCATGAGAGGACATGAGAGCATGAGAGGACATGAGAGCAGGAGAGGATATGAGAGCAGGAGAGGATATGAGAGCAGGAGAGGATATGAGAGCAGGAGAGGATATGAGAGCAGGAGAGGATATGAGAGCATGAGAGGATATGAGAGCAGGAGAGGATATGAGAGCATGAGAGGACATGAGAGCAGGAGAGGATATGAGAGCAGGAGAGGATATGAGAGCATGAGAGGACATGAGAGCAGGAGAGGATATGAGAGCAGGAGAGGATATGAGAGCATGAGAGGATATGAGAGCAGGAGAGGATATGAGAGCATGAGAGGACATGAGAGCAGGAGAGGATATGAGAGCAGGAGAGGATATGAGAGCAGGAGAGGATATGAGAGCAGGAGAGGATATGAGAGCAGGAGAGGATATGAGAGCAGGAGAGGATATGAGAGCAGGAGAGGATATGAGAGCAGGAGAGGATATGAGAGCAGGAGAGGATATGAGAGCAGGAGAGGATATGAGAGCATGAGAGGATATGAGAGCAGGAGAGGATATGAGAGCAGGAGAGGATATGAGAGCAGGAGAGGATATGAGAGCATGAGAGGATATGAGAGCATGAGAGGATATGAGCGCAGGAGAGGATACGAGAGCAGGAGAGGATATGAGAGCAGGAGAGGATATGAGAGCAGGAGAGGAGAGCAGGAGACGAGAGGAGAGCAGGATGGGAGAGGAGAGGAGAGCAGGATGGGAGAGGAGAGGAGAGCAGGATGGGAGAGGACATAAAGGGATGAAAGGAATCGAAATGAAGGCAAGAAGGCGGTTGCACGCTAAGGAAGGAAGGGAGAGCATATGAAGGCAAGACGGTAGAGGAGAGGAAGGCAGCAAGGGAGAGGAGATCAAGGCAGGAAAGGGAGAGTACTTGAAGGCATGAAAGGGAGAGTACTTGAAGGCATGAAAGGGAGAATACTTGAAGGCATGAAAGGGAGAGTAGTTCAAGGGAGTAAACGGGAAAAATGAGGGCAAGGGAGAGGAAACGAAGGCAGGAAGGGAGAGGAGCGGAATGAGAGGAAGGGTAGAGAAGGAGCAAATGAAACACAAGCAGGAGTCGAGTAGGACTCTGCGCACGCACCGTGCGCCACGCGTGCGGATTCCGGAGCTCACACCGTGCGCCACGCCTGCGGATTCCGGAGCTCACACCGTGCGCCACGCCTGCAAACTCGGGTGCCCAGGATGGCACGTAGGAACGCCACAAGAACGAGAACCTGGGTGGGGAATACAGCAGGATAGGACAAGAGAGGGCATCATGGGAGAGGAGAGGAGAGCAGGATGGGAGAGGAGAGGAGAGCAGGATGGGAGAGGAGAGGAGAGCAGGATGGGAGAGGAGAGGAGAGCAGGATGGGAGAGGAGAGGAGAGCAGGATGGGAGAGGAGAGGAGAGCAGGATGGGAGAGGAGGGGAGGACATGAAGGCATGAAAGGAATTGAAATGAAGGCGGTAAAGGGATTTGAGCGGAAACGAAGTTCGGGGAGAGGAGATGAATGCAGGAAGGGAGCGGAGAAGTAGGCAGGAAGGGAGAGGAAAGGATGGCAGGAAGAGAAACGGGATAAGGCAGGAAGGGCAAGGGGATAATGCAGGAAGGGAGAGGAGTGGAGAGCAGGATGGGAGAGGAAATGAAGGCAGGAAGGGAGAGGAGAAGAAAGCATGAAGGGAGAGCAGCGGAAGGCAGGAAGGGAGAGGAGATGCAGGCAAGAAAGGAGAGGGGATGAAGGCAAGAAGGGAGAGGAGAGGAAGGCAGGAAGGAAAAGGAGAGTAAGGCAAGAAAGGGAGAGTAGTTGAAAGCGGGAGGGGAGAGGAAATGAGGCCAAGGGAGATGACAGGAAGGCAGGAAGGGAGAGGAAAGGAAGGCAGGATGGGAGAGGAGCGGATCGTAAGGAAGGGTAGAGAAGAAGCGAACTAAATCCAAGCAGGATTCGAGTAGGACTCTGCGCGCGCACCGTGCGCCACGCCTGCGGAACTAGCAGAGCTCACACCGTGCGCCACGCCTGCGGATTCCGGAGCTCACACCGCGCGCCACGCCTGCGGATTCCGCCGCTCACACCGTGCGCCACGCCTGCAAACTCGACTGCACAGGACGGCACGTAGAAACGCCACAAGAACGAGACCGCGTGGATCAACGGTTGTGCAGAACCTCGGTGGAAAAGACAGCAGGATAGGATAGAACAAAAGCATCATGGGAGAGGAGAGGAGAGCAGGATGGGAGAGAAGAGGAGAGCAGGATAGGAGCGATGAGGAGTACAAAAGGCAAGCGAGGACGAGGATAGGATGGGAGAGCGGATGGCAACTTCGTAGAAGAAACGGGGCAGGTAAGTGCCCTTGGATATTGATGGGAATGCGCCTTCCCTGGGAGGATTTCGTAGATTTGCGCTCACACCGTGCTACCCCCCCTGTAACACCCTCGCGCCTTTACCGTACTGCCGATCTAGGAAAATGCCTCGACAACCAAGCCTCAGCAACAACGTGCGCCACCGTTCGTGTTGCTGTAACCGCAGTGTGTGACAATCCCGAGCCGGGGTCGCACGTCCAGTGGAGAAAGGGATGAGGGTAATTTGCTGCAGGGAAGTGCGAGATTAGGGTATGGCGGAGACGCAGGGACGTGCGATAAGCAGTTAAGGATGTCTTGTGATAGGTAAAAAGAACGCAACGGTGAAACGTCTTGACAAGGGGTAGAGGGGGCGAGAGGGAAAGGGGAACGTGGCACAGATTCGCAAAACGCACGGATCGCAGGGTTCTAGACGAACAGCAGGACGGCATAGACATGATATGCGGGTTTTAGGGCTCACCAAGCGTACGTCAAACTAATACAGAGGCGAGTCGATTTGTCAGGGGAATGGAGGTCAACAAGCTGCAAGCTAAGCATTTGCCCTTCGAGTGATTCTGAGGAATGTTTGCTACGGAAAGGAACCTCTGCGGGTGACGTGAGGTAAGCTGGGGAGGGTAAGAGTGAAGGGGGAAAGAGAAACCAAAACGACATAGGATGCAATCCAGGGGAGAACACTTCAACAGGTGATATGGGAATGCATCACTAGAAGACAGAGGTCAAACTGTCTTCTTCCTAGGGTGATATTGTATGCTGTCCAGAGCAATTATGCCAGCCTGGATCCAGGAGACACCAGTGGTCTCACTTTGGGACCAGATGCAAAGCCATTTTGATTTTGCCAGGTGTAGGTTTCACATGAGACGATCTTCTCAACCATGGTTTGCTTCAAACAAGGGCAACCTCTTGGCATCTAGCATCAGATCCAGCAGAACGTTCCTATGTTCAGATCAAGCATAAGGACCAGATTAATGGCAAGGATGGCATGGTTCCAAATGGGGCACAAGGCAAGTGTTGCATGCAAGGGATTGTAGCTTCTAGGAAAGCATGTTGGCAGCTTTCAAGTACAGCATTGCATAGCTGGATGGCAGGTGTGATGCATCAAACAGCAAGTAGGGGTGGGATTTCTAAACCCACTAGAAGCAACACCTACAGAAAGAAGACCACAATTAACTGTTGACCACATGTTCTGAGCTCTAAAGCTGTCCTTCCATTGCCACCCCACCTGACATCACATGCTTGCATTGCCACCTCACCTCACATCACATGTACATATTAAATGCTCTTTCCAAAAGACCACAACCCTCCAAGATCCTCACTAACCATGGTGGGCCTAGGTTTCCAGCCATTTACACACTCCTTAGCGTCGAGATATTAGTGTACCAAAGACATGCCAAGTCTGTATTAGGCTATATGAACCAAGCTACCATATTCTATTGTGAAGGCAATAACGTTTGCGAATTGCTAAACTATGGATAGTGTCCTGTGGACTTGGGCGATTGAGGCCTAAACAGGTCCGATGGCAAGGGAATAGTGTGAACTAAGAGAATAAGCGAAGAAATGGTGCTAAAAAAAGCAACCAAACGACGAAACGGTGACATGTTGCGCACTGGGCTGTCCTTGCACGGTTTCAGGCGATCAGACGCACAAGCAAGCGTCACGTGCTGCGTAGATGTGCGAATGAGCCCAGACAAGTTCCAATGGCAAGTTAATAGTGTGAACCAACAGAATCTGTGAATAATTGGCGCTAACAAAATCAACAAAACGACGAAACGGTGACATGTCTAACGCTGGGCTGTCCTTGGACGGTTTCAGGCGATCAGACGCACAAGCAAGCGTCACGTGCTGCGTAGACGTGCGAATGAGCCCAAACCAGTTCCAATGGCAAGGGATTAGTGTGATGGTAACGGATCTGTGAAGAAATGGTGCTAAAAAAAGCAACCAAACGACGAAACGGTGACATGTCTAACGTTGGGCTGTCCTTGCACGGTTTCAGGCGATCAGACGCACAAGCAAGCGTCACGTGATGCGTAGATGTGCGAATGAGCCCAAACCAGTTCCAATGGCAAGGGATTAGTGTGAAGGTACAGCATCTGTGAAGAAATGGTGCTAAAAAAAGCAACCAAACGACGAAAAGGTGACATGTCTAACGCTGGTCTGCTCTAGCACGGTTTCAGGCGATCAGACGCACAAGCAAGCGTCGCGTGCTGCGTAGATGTGCGAATGAGCCCAAACCAGTTCCAATGGCAAGGGATTAGTGTGAAGGTACAGCATCTGTGAAGAAATGGTGCTAAAAAAAGCAACCAAACGACGAAAAGGTGACATGTCTAACGCTGGTCTGCTTTAGCACGGTTTCAGGCGATCAGACGCACAAGCAAGCGTCGCGTGCTGCGTAGATGTGCGAATGAGCCCAAACCAGTTCCAATGGCAAGGGATTACTGTGAAGGTACAGGATCTGTGAAGAAATGGTGCTAAAAAAAAGCAACCAAACGACGAAAAGGTGACATGTCTAACGCTGGTCTGCTTTAGCACGGTTTCAGGCGATCAGACGCACAAGCAAGCGTCGCGTGCTGCGTAGATGTGCGAATGAGCCCAAACCAGTTCCAATGGCAAGGGGTTAGTGTGTCGGTACAGCATCTGTGAAGAAATGGTGCTAAAAAAAGCAACCAAACGACGAAAAGGTGACATGTCTAACGCTGGTCTGCTTTAGCACGGTTTCAGGCGATCAGACGCACAAGCAAGCGTCGCGTGCTGCGTAGATGTGCGAATGAGCCCAAACCAGTTCCAATGGCAAGGGATTACTGTGAAGGTACAGGATCTGTGAAGAAATGGTGCTAAAAAAAGCAACCAAACGACGAAACAGTAACATGTTGCGCGCTGGGCTGTCCTTGCACGGTTTCAGGCGAACAGACGCAGAAGCAAGCGTAACCTGCTGCGTAGATGTGAGAATGTGCCCAAACCAGTTCCAATGGAAAGGGATTAGTGTGAAGGTACAGCATCTGTGAAGAAATGGTGCTAAAAAAAGCAACCAAACGACGAAACGGTGACATGTTGCGGGCTGGGCTGTCCTTGGACGGTTTCAGGCGATCAGACGCACAAGCAAGCGTCACGTGCTGCGTAGACGTGCGAATGAGCCCAAACCAGTTCCAATGGCAAGGGATTAGTGTGATGGTAACGGATCTGTGAAGAAATGGTGCTAAAAAAAGCAACCAAACGACGAAACAGTGACGATGCAAAGCCATTTTGATTTTGCCAGGTGTAAGTTTCACATGAGACGATCTTCTCAACCATGGTTTGCTTCAAACAAGAGCAACCTCTTGGCATCTAGCATCAGATCCAGCAGAACGTTCCTATATTCAGATCAAGCATAAGGACCGGATTAATGGCAAGGATGGCATGGTTCCAAATGGGGCACAAGGCACGTATTGCATGCAAGGGATTGTAGCTTCTAGGAAAGCATGTTGGCAGCTTTCAAGTACAGCATTGCATAGCTGGATGGCAGGTGTGATGCATCAAACAGCAAGTAGGGGTGGGATTTCTAAACCCACTAGAAGCAACACCTACAGAAAGAAGACCACAATCAACTGTTGACCACATGTTCTGAGCTCTAAAGCTGTCCTTCCATTGCCACCCCACCTGACATCACACGCTTCCATTGCCACCTCACCTCACATCACATGTACATATTAAATGCTCTTTCCAAAAGACCACAACCCTCCAAGATCCTCACTAACCATGGTGGGCCTAGGTTTCCAGCCATTTACACACTCCTTAGCGTCGAGATATTAGTGTACCAAAGGCATGCCAGGTCTATATTAGGCTATATGAACCAAGCTACCATATTCTATTGTGAAGTCAATAACGTTTGCGACTTGCTAAACTATGGAAAGTGTCCTGTGGACTTGGGCGATTGAGCCCTAAACAGGTCCGATGGCAAGGGAATAGTGTGAACTAAGAGAATAAGCGAAGAAATGGTGCTAACAAAAGCAACCAAACGACGAAACGGTGACATGTTGCGCACTGGGCTGTCCTTGCACGGTTTCAGGCGATCAGACGCACAAGCAAGCGTCACGTGCTGCGTAGATGTGCGAATGACCCCAAACCAGTTCCAATGGCAAGGGAATAGTGTGAACCAACAGAGTCTGTGAAGAAATGGTGCTACCAAAATCATACAAACGACGAAACGGTGACATGATGAGCGCTGGGCTGTCATTGCACTGTTTCATGCGATCAGACGCAGAGACATGTGTCTGGTGCTGCGAAGTTGTGCGAATGAGGTCTAACCAGTTTCTATCGAAAGAGAATTGAGTGAAATAGCTGAATATGTGAAGAAATGGTGCTAAAAAAAACAACCAAATGACGGAACGGTGACATGTTGCGTACCGGCCAGTCCTTGCACAATTTAAGGCCATCCGACGCACAAACAAGCGTAACGTGCTGCGTAGTTGAGCGAAAGAGCCCAATCCAGTTTCTATGGCAACGGAAGTGAGTGAACTAACCGAGTATGTGAAGAAATGGGTCTAAGGAAAAAAAAAAAAAAAACACGAAAAAAAAAGACAAAACGGTTACATGTAGCGTACCGGCCAGTCCTTGCATAGTTTCAGACCATCCGACGCACAAAGAAGCGTTACGTGCTGCGTAGTTGAGCGAAAGAGACCAAGCCAAGATCTTTGGCAATGGAATTGACTTTCCCATTCCACCGTTCGTAAGATCTCTGATGTTGTTGGCTACAAGAAACATGCTTATGATCCCTGAACAGTTATCGATACATGTTTGCAGTGGGAGCATCGCAACTGCCAACGAGATGAAGTATGTTACTTATTCAAAATCAGAGGGGATCAATGAACCTAATCAATTGCTATCATACCACTTGCTACACATAGCGAACCGTGTGGCTACTATTAAGGCAACATTAGTAAGGGTTTTTATTTTCTAAGCATGACATTCTGTTCTTCTCGATTCGCCAGTTTCTAGTGAGTACGAAGTTGTTCAGGGTCGTTCGCGGCTCGACCTTATACCTTACTCACACCGTTTGTTTTGCCTTGCTGCAAATCGACCCCGTGTAGGGACCAAGCTTGCCAGGCAATGGCGCGTGAAACCCTAGCTCACTTCTCCCCAGACCAACGGGTTTCGAAAGGCATTGCTGAGTTGTATCCGAGACAACTCAGCAATGCGCTCGTCTGTCTCGGTTGAGTCACGCTCCTGCTGAAGTACCCCGCGCGCGACACCACAGACACGACCACGGAGCAGTTACGTGAGCCTCCTTTTTTAAACTTCCGAAATTTGAATCAGAGATGGTCGATGCCACTCTACACCTCTCTGAACCATGACGCCTTTGATCAAATGGCCTATCCTTAGTCGTGATGCTCTGCTAGCTGGGCTTAGGTTGATCTCGTGTTTAATCGAACCAGCGTTCCGTATAAATAGAATGGGAAAACATACTTTCAGTCAGTTTTCCAAACTGACCAAAGTTGATTTTCCTCTCCTATGGCATCCTCAGGACCACGACGCTCAGATCGACCCACCAAAGGACAGCACAGCAGGTTCGCAGCAGCACTGGAATCAGTCCGTATCCTGGGTCAGCCCCCTGCTGGAAATTCGGCCGGTGCAGCTGCTTCCACCACGCCCAGCACTGGTGAGCCTTCCATTTCCGTATCGTTCAAAGTGTGAGCCTTGCATTTCACAGTTGCAGTCCTTGATGTGCCAGTCATTTAGCCCTTGTTCCGCATCTGACAACATTCGTGCTGCATTTTGTGCAGGCGAACGGATAGTGTCTCTCACATCGCTACTGGGATCGACACAACCGCCCGCTTCAACAACATCGAACTCTGTGCGGACCGTTGTCGGACGCCGCAGTGGTGGGAGGCGCGCTACTGTGCCGCCTGGTGCCAGACCAGTCGGTGTAGCTCTGCAGCACTTGGGGACACAAGGCCAGGATCAGCAGCACCCACCGCCCTTCCTGTCTCAGCAAGCCAATGGGTTGCAGCATCAGCTGAACTCTGCATCTTCCTTGCCTCTTGATAGCCAGCATCTGCAGCAGCCGCCCTCAACTCTGCATCAGCATGCCAATGGGCTGCAACAGCACGGGACGTCGTCTCTTTCTCATCTCGCGCAGCAACCCACATCGCCCCTGCAGCAGCAGCAGCCGTCAGCAAGTCTGCAGCAGCAGCAGCCGTCAGCAAGTCTGCAGCAGCAGCCGTCAGCAAGTCTGCAGCAGCAGCAGCCGTCAGCATCTCTGCATCAGCAGCAGCCGTCAGCATCTCTGCATCAGCAGCAGCCGTCAGCATCTCTGCATCAGCCGCAGCCGTCAGCATCTCTGCATCAGCAGCAGCCGTCAGCATCTCTGCATCAGCCGCAGCCGTCAGCAAGTCTGCAGCAGCAGCAGCCGTCAGCATCTCTGCATCAGCAGCCGCCGTCAGCAACTCTCGTTCAGCAGCAGCCGTCTGCACCGCTGCACCAGCAAACCAATGGGCAGCAGCATCAGGGCACATCGGCTCTTCCACATCACGCGCGTGTGCAGCATCAGCATCAGCCCACGTCGCCTCTGCATCAGCAGCAGCCCTCGTCGCCCCTGCATCAGCAGCAGCCCACGGCGCCTGTGCATCAGCAGCAGCCCACGGCGCCTGTGCATCAGCAGCAGACCTCATCAGCTCTTGCATCCCCACTCAGTGGCCATGTACAGCAGCAGCCAAACTCATCGAGGCCTTTCACGGGATTTGATCTGAGTGATGACGAAGACCAAGAAGAATATGACCAACCTGCGGATCCCGAAGGGTTTCCGGAGATTGAGCCTGACATGCCCAATCCTGGATTTGTGCCGTTGTCGGCAGATCACGATGCAGAGGAGGGGAACGAGATCATCGACAGTGTTACTCGAGCCGAATTCGAGGACACGCAAAGGGAGAACCGTGAGTTCCGGCGCCGCCTTATGGAGTATGAGAACGAGCGACGCAACATGCAGCGGGCTGCGGCGAACTCACCGCCCAACAATGGAGGAGAGGGCAGCAGCAACCCGGCAAACTCCCCCAACATTGACCCTGCCGAGGATGCGGCGCCGGATGGGAGCGGGCAGGCAGGTGCGGGTGGGAACGCAACGCGCAATGACGGCGTGGCAGCTGCTACTATGCTGCCGCCGGTCCCCAGCGTCCTTCGTGTGGAGCCGAACCGAAATGCCATCCAAAACGCGGTGAAGCTGGCGCACAAGCGAGGCGTCATACTGGACCTGCAACAACTGTCAAGCATGCAGCTGACGTGGGCTCACCGCTACGCCGCCGCCTTGGCGGGCGTCCCTGACATGCACAACGGTTTTAAGGTCCGTTGGGTTGAGTGCATGCTTGGTGTGGAGGTAGTTCGCGTGAACACTTCTTAATTTGAATGGAACCATCCAGCTGCATGAGTGTGATGCATATGCGCCTTGCCTTGTGCCTCTTCACCTCACACGTATCCCATCCGCCCCATCATCCTGCGCTCCCGCCTCCCCCAATCCCTTCCCCGCCGCTACCCTCCACTCCCCTCCCTCTCATCTGTCCCCCTTCTATCCTAAACTCCCCTTGCTCCGGCGTCAGGGAGCGGCGAAGCGTGCAGTGGAAATCATGTACTTCGAGACGCCCGATGTCGACCTTGAGTATTGGACGCCGTGAGACACCAACATCACTGCACTTTGCACCGCTATCGGTATCACCGACGCCGACTATGTGGCGAAAGTGCGGCTGGTCATGGAGAATGAGAAAACGCGCCCGGGCCACCTCAGAAAGCAGCAGCAGGATGCCCGCAACAAGGTCCACACAATGGGCCGTGTGATGCTGTACGAGCGCTTCGATATCCGCATTGCTCGACCGGATCGCGGGAGGGAAGTGGTCGGAACCCTCTCTCCTGGAGCCTTTTGTGCCGAATATTTTGCTGGTAAGACGAAGCCCCACCCACGCCTTATTTCTTACCCCCCACGCCTGTATCACCCCCTCTTTTGCCACTGCAGTGCACCTGCCAAGGCTGCGGGACCATACAGCCCCTTGTGCCCCGTTCTCACCAAGCCCCAACTCCCTTGTGCCACTTCCTTCCCTTTCCAGCAGGCACACCTGCTGGCAACCTGCAGTGCAACTGCCATATCTGTGGGTTTCAAGGTGTGGGCCAAGTGCCTCGTTCTAACCAGCCGCTCCCTCTCTTGTGCCCCCACCTTCCCCTTCCAGCAGGCGCACCTGAGGGCAAAAAACCCCAACCGTTGCCGTGGATAGCGGGTTTGGCATTGTGGGCCATGTGCCTCGTTCTTACCAGCAGCGCCCTCCTTTGTGTCCCCACCCTCCCCATTCCAGCAGGCGCACCTAAGGGCAAACTGGAGGGCACCTTGCGAAAATTCACACGGCCCTGGTGTCTCATTAGAACCAGCCCCTCCCTCCTTGCGCCCCCACCTTCCCCATTCCAGCAGGCGCACCTGAGGGCAAACTGCAGGGCACCCTTCGTGATTTTCAAGGCCCTGGTGTCTCATTAAAACCAGCCCCTCCCTCCCTTGCGTCCCCACCTTCCCCATTCCAGCAGGTGCACCTGAGGGCAAATTGGAGGGCTGCTGCCCTCCCTGTGGGTTTCAAAGTGTGGGCCAAGTGCCTTGTTCTAACCAGCAGCACCCTCTCCAGTTTCCCCATACCAGCAGGCGCACCTGAGGGCAAACTGGAGGGCACCTGCCCTCCCTGTTGGTTCCAAAGTGTGGGCCATGTGCCTCGTTCTTACCAGCAGCGCCCTCCTTTGTGTCCCCACCCTCCCCATTCCAGCAGGCGCACCTGAGGGCAAACTGGAGGGCACCTTGCGGAAATTCACACGGCCCTGGTGTCTCATTAGAACCAGCCCCTCCCTCCCTTGCGCCCCCACCTTCGCCATTCCAGCAGGCACACCTGAACCCTACTGTAGTGCACCTGGCTTGTGTGTTTCACTGCTAAACCCTAGTGCTTCCTACTAACCCTGCCCCTTACCCCCCTTGTACCCTGCTGTAGTGCACCTAGCTTGTCCACTTCCAGCAGGCACATGGTTAACGCCACTGCAGTGCAAGCCATTTCTGTGTGTTTATGCAGCGCCTCTCACCCTCATTTCTCCGCTCAGAACACCTGCCCCCACCCACTCAATCTATTGCATCCACCAACGCGTATTTTCTCCCCCCATTCTCACCTCCACTGTTGAGTAGATGCGACTTCATGGGGCTTGCTGAAGTGGCACTTCAATGACGATGGCCTGCCATTCTCAACAGACTTCTTCACTGCTGCAGTATTCCACTCGTTTCAGAGGCCGGGGCACTCCTTTGTGGTGCTCCGATTCAATCAACTTGCCTTTTTTCTGCTGGGGGTATGTTGAGCCATGTGGTTGTGTTAACAAGGTGTTTTGTCTAGTTGCATGTCGCGATGCTGGTTTTTGACATACGTTGTAATCACCCCAACCCATTGCTTGTTGCAGGTCGAGTACAAGTTGATCAACGGTCAAGAAATGCCGCGTAGCCCGGTTGCCAATCGAAACGCATTGACGATTCACCATTCGAAGGTCCACAACGCCGTCGCGTTCGCCGTTCAGAATAGGAGCGCAATTACGGGCCCGTGGTGGGAGGCTGATAAGGCTGCTTGGAAATTCAATGCAACCACCGAGAGGGTGTTTATCTCATGCGCAGGGTTGCCAGGATTGCAAGGTCCCTAAGCCTCACCTTTAAGAAAGCGTAGGATGCCATGTGTTTGCAGCAGTGTTTGCGTTGTAGTCTGTGTGGCGTAGTAATTTGTTCAGTACCCCTGTTGCGTAGTATTTGCAATAACTAATCGTATTAATAATCCATTTATAATTAATATTATATGCATAAAAGAACCAGTACAGAATATATAAAATGCAATTTTACGAATATAGAAAATTGCTAAATTAAAGTTACCCTATTAACAACAACGTAACTGTTACACACACTTTCTCGGCGTCAATAATATAGCGACACTTGGGGACGCACTAGATGCACACGTCAGCAAACACCAAGAAAATTACTGCGACGTGTTGCACAAGCGTGCATTTGCCTTGTGCCCTTCCCCGAAACGTGTAATCCCCAGGTTCGGTCATGCTGTCTGACCTGTTCGGAATATGCTTGACAGGTGTCGCACACTTTACCAATGATAATCTCTGTCAGTGTTTGGCGCGAAATGCGCTCATTCGACGCAACCCAGTGGAAACATGACTTCCCAGCCAGTCAAAAGGTCACAGCTCAGGGAACGCAATGTTACTCGGCTTTTCGTGCTCAAATGGGTGTAAGCCGCATCAGTCGCAAAAGCAGAGTTACTGCTTTTCGTGTGTAATCGTGGGGACTTCGCTGCACACAAGTTCATTCCTGCCACAAAGTAACCTTCCCGTATGTTTACGTTCGGAGCAGCCCAACCTCGCCCAGTAGGTTCGCTAGTAACTAGAAAGTTGTTTCCTGGACAACAACCGACAAGTAACTAAATAGTAGCTTCATGGTAGGTTTCGATCAGCCCCATTTTTGGGATGATCATCACAAGCGTAGGCGGATTGACGATCCGGCAGTTCCTACAAGCCCCGCACAAGAAGCTCACACTACCGCGCCACACTTTGATGCGCCAACGAATGAGCACGAGCAAATCGCCTTTCAGCCCGACGCCTCTCAAGAGCCGATTGACTTCGATTGGGGGCCTGGAATCTTTGACACACGAAAAGAGCTGCTGTTACTGATGCAAAGCTTCCGTGAAGGGCAGGGCATGACCGTTGAAGAGAGCAAGCGGTTTTTGCGGGTCGTATGCCACCCGGGCTTCAACTCCGAGGATCTCCAAGGCTGGCGGAGCATAAAAGATGCGCAAAAGTGGGCTGCGGACAAGTGGGGCTCGAAAGCGCCCGAGTGGAAGACGACAATGGTCGAGGTCCCAGGGGTGTTGGAGAATGGCCGACCCGTCTATGTGCCCTTGAAATACACGGACACTCTCAAGGTAAGTCACGGGGAGTGATGCTCTTTCACTACAGAGAATCTATTTGGTGGTGATTTAACGATCGTTTTTCGTTTTACGTGTTTTCCAGGTGGTGCAGGCGATTTTTGAAGACCGGTGCAACCAAAAAGGATTCGCACTGTACCCGAGCATAAAGAAACGCAACAACAAGAGGATTTATACACGCCCCCAACATTGCAACTGGTGGCTCGAAGCCCAGGTGAGTGGTCGGCGATGGCAAGGGCTGTAACAGGGTTAGGTGAGCTCGGATGTGAGTGTGTAGGGAGGGTCAGAGTGATAGGTGAGCTCGGATGTGAGTGTGTAGGGAAGGTCAGAGTGATAGGTGAGCTCGGATGTGAGTGTGTAGGGAAGGTCAGAGTGATAGGTGAGCTCGGATGTGAGTGTGTAGGGAGGATCAGAGTGATAGGAGAGCTCGGATGTGAGTGTGTAGGGAGGGTCAGGGTGATAGGAGAGCTCGGATGTGGGTGTGTAGGGAGGGTCAGAGTGATAGGTGAGCTCGGATGTGAGTGTGTAGGGAGGGTCAGAGTGATAGGTGAGCTCGGATGTGACTGTGTAGGGAGGGTCAGAGTGATAGGTGAGCTCGGATGTGAGTGTGTAGGGAAGGTCAGAGTGATAGGTGAGCTCGGATGTGAGTGTGTAGGGAAGGTCAGAGTGATAGGTGAGCTCGGATGTGAGTGTGTAGGGAGGATCAGAGTGATAGGAGAGCTCCGATGTGAGTGTGTAGGGAGGGTCGGGGTGATAGGAGAGCTCGGATGTGACTGTGTAGGGAGGGTCAGAGTGATAGGTGAGCTCGGATGTGAGTGTGTAGGGAGGGTCAGAGTGATAGGTGAGCTCGGATGTGACTGTGTAGGGAAGGTCAGAGTGATAGGTGAGCTCGGATGTGAGTGTGTAGGGAGGATCAGAGTGATAGGAGAGCTCGGATGTGACTGTGTAGGGAGGGTCAGAGTGATAGGTGAGCTCGGATGTGAGTGTGTAGGGAGGGTCAGAGTGATAGGTGAGCTCGGATGTGAGTGTGTAGGGAGGGTAAGAGTGATAGGTGAGCTCGGATGTGAGTGTGTAGGGAAGGTCAGAGTGATAGGTGAGCTCGGATGTGAGTGTGTAGGGAAGGTCAGAGTGATAGGAGGAGGGAGCGCAGCGCCATGCCATGCCGCATGGCCCACCAAACCAGCCCCAGGTGCGTTGTGAGTCATTTGACCAATCCCCTCCTCTGTCCCCTTTGTTTTGAGTCATTTGACCAATCCCCTCCTCTCTCCTCTTTGTTTTGAGTCATTTGACCAATCCCCTCCTCTCTCCCCTCTGTTTTGAGTCATTTGACCAATCCCCTCCTCTCTCCTCTTTGTTTTGAGTCATTTGACCAATCCCCTCCTCTCTTTCCCCTGTTTTGAGTCATTTGACCAATCCCCTACTCTCTCCCCTCTGTTTTGAGTCATTTGACCAATCCCCTCCTCTCTCCTCTTTGTTTTGAGTCACTTGACCAATCCCCTCCTCTCTTCCCCCTGTTTTGAGTCATTTGACCAATCCCCTACTCTCTCCCCTCTGTTTTGAGTCATTTGAGCAATCCCCTCATCTCTCCTATTCGTTTTGAGTCATTTAACCAATTCCCTCCTCTCTCCTCTTTGTTTCGAGTCATTTCACCAATCCCCTCCTCTCTCTCCTCTTTGTTTTGAGTCATTTGACCAATCCCCTCCTCTCTCCCCTCAGTTTTGAGTCATTTCACCAATCCCCTCCTCTCTCCTCTCTGTTTTGAGTCATTTGACCAATCCCCTCCTCTCTCCTCTTTGTTTTGAGTCATTTGACCAATCCCCTCCTCTCTCCTATTTGTTTTGAGTCATTTGACCAATCCCCTCCTCTCTCTCTGTTTTGAGTCATTTCACCTATCCCCTCCTCTCTCCTCTTTGTTTTGACTCATTTGACCAATCCCCTCCTCTCTCCCCTCAGTTTTGAGTCTTTTCACCAATCCCCTCCTCTCTCCTCTTTGTTTTGAGTCATTTGACCAATCCCCTCCTCTCTCCCCTCTGTTTTGAATCATTTGACCAATCCCCTCCTATCTCCCCTCTGTTCTGAGTCATTTGACCAATCCCCTCTTCTCTCCCCTCTGTTTTGAGCCATTTGACCAATCCCCTCCTCTCTCCCCTTTGTTTTGAGTAATTTGACCAATACCTTCCTCTCTCCTCTTTGTTTTGTGTCATTTGACCAATCCCCTCCTCTCTCCCCTCTGTTTTGAGTCATTTGACCAATCCCCTCCTCTCTCCTCTTTGTTTTGAGACATTTGACCAATCCCCTCCTCTCTTCCCCCTGTTTTGAGTCATTTGACCAATCCCCTACTCTCTCCCCTCTGTTTTGAGTAATTTGAACAATCCCCTCTTCTCTCCTCTTTGTTTTGAGTCATTTGACCAATCCCCTCCTCTCTTCCCCTCTGTTTTGAGTAATTTGACCAATCCCCTCTTCTCTCCTCTTTGTTTTGAGTCATTTGACCAATCCCCTCCTCTCTCCCCTCTGTTTTGAGTCATTTGACCAATCCCCTCCTCTCTCCTCTTTGTTTTGAGTCATTTGACCAATCCCCTCCTCTCTTCCCCCTGTTTTGAGTCATTTGACCAATCCCCTCCTCTCTCCTCTCTGTTTGAGGTCATTTGACCAATCCCCTCCTCTCTCCTCTTTGTTTTGAGTCATTTGACCAATCCCCTCCTCTCTCATATTTGTTTTGAGTCATTTGACCAATCCCCTCCTCTCTCCCCTCTGTTTTGAATCATTTAACTAATCCCCTCCTCTCTCCCCTCTGTTTTGAGTCATTTGACCAATCCCCTCTTCTCTCCCCTCGGTTTTGAGCCATTTGACCAATCCCCTCCTCTCTCCTCTTTGTTTTGAGTCATTTGACCAATCCCCTCCTCTATTCCCCCTGTTTTGAGTCATTTGACCAATCCCCTACTCTCTCCCCTCTGTTTTGAGTCCTTTGACCAATCCTCTCCTCTCTCCTCTGTTTTGAGACATTTGACCAATCCCCTCCTCTCTCCTATTTGTTTTGAGTCATTTAACCAATTCCCTCCTCTCTCCTCTTTGTTTTGAGTCATTTGACCAATCCCCTCCTCTCTCCCCTCTGTTTCGAGTCATTTGACCAATGCCTCATCTCCCCTCCCCTCCCCTCTCCTCCCTCTCCTCCCTCCCTCCCTCCCTCCCTCCCTCCCTCCCCGTGTTTCAGCAGCTGCCAGCGGGGCGTGACAGTGCAGCACGGGGTGGGGCAAGCTGACGCGCACGCCCACGTGGTAAGAGCGAACCAGAACGATGCATGAATGTATGAACACAAAAGCAAAACAATGTACTAGGGCACATAAAAATCACGTGCCTTCTCATTCCCTCAAGGTGCCTTGCCGTTCCCTGCATGATGCCTTCTCATTCCTTGCATGATGCCATTTTCCTCCCCTTTCCAGCAGGTGCCAGTGCAAGGCATAATGTTTTGAGGTGTCACACTCAACACCTCCCCTCTGTCCTCCCGTTTCCAGCAGGTGCCAGTGTAGCGCATGTTGATTGAAGAGGTCTCACTCACCCCGTCCCCTCTTTCCATCCCAATATTTCCTGTTTGTTTGTTTGTTTGTTTGTTTGTTTGTTTGTTTGTCTGTTTCAGTTTGTTTTGCTTGCTTGTTTGTTGTTCCTGTGTGCATTCTTTGCTCAAGGGGGGGGTGTAAGGGGGCATGGGGAACTGTGAGACGTCCAAGCCACCCTCTCCCCTCCCCTTTCTGCCAGCTGCCAGTGCAGCGCCTGCCCATTTGAGCTTGTCTCACCCACCCCCTCCCCTCTTTTCCCACTTTACCCCTTCTGCCAGGTGCCTTCTCATGCCCTGCAAGGTGCCTTCGCATGTTGCACGGTGCCTTCACATGCCCTGCATGGTGCCTGTTCATGCCCTGGCTGGTGGATTGCATTCCCTGCATGGTGACTTTCATTTCCTGCCAGGTAAGGGGGTAAGGGGGTTTCGGGTGCTCCCCCCGCTCACTTGCCCTGCTCCCCCCGCTCACTTGCTCTGCTCCCCCACCCCAACTCCTCCCCTGCCCTTGCGCAGGTGCCAGTTTCTCCTGTCGCCAAGATGAAGATACTTTGCACAGGGAGCAGATGCGTTGCCAGCTGCTTGTGTGGCCGTCCCTCATCATCCATGCGCGGAACATGAGAGAGAACAAGGGAGAGAAACAGAAGCAGGAGGAGGGAGCGCAGCGCCATGCCATGCTGCATGGCCCACCAAACCGGCCCCAGGTGCGTTGTGAGTCGCCCCAGAGCATGCACTGCACACCTTGCCATATCCCTCACACCTGCCATCCCACCATGCCCTCACACCTCCTGCCATCCCCTCACTTGCCCTGCTCCCCCCGCTCACTTGCTCCGCTTCCCCTCTCCCCCACCCCAACTCCCCCCCTCCCCTTGCGCAGGTGCCAGCTTCCCTCCTGTCGCCAAGACGAAGACACTTGGCTTGCAATGTGTAGAGTGGTAGGGATTGATGAATCTGATTACGTTAGGAACATAAATGTATGAGCCTGTTATTATATGTGCAGGGGGATGGGGGGAGTGCAGGTTTGGTTTGGGCCAGGTTTGGGATATGAAAGAGTGGCAGAGCTGCACCACTCACCTGCTCTGCCGCACCACTCATCGCTCTGCTGCACCACTCACCTGCTCTGCTGCACCACTCACCTGCTCTGCTGCACCACTCACCTGCTCTGCCGCACCACTCACCTGCTCTGCCGCACCACTCACCTGCTCTGCTGCACCACTCACCTGCTCTGCTGCACCACTCACCTGCTCTGCTGCACCACTCACCTGCTCTGCCGCACCACTCACCTGCTCTGCTGCACCACTCACCTGCTCTGCCGCACCACTCACCTGCTCTGCCGCACCACTCACCTGCTCTGCCGCACCACTCACCTGCTCTGCCGCGCCACTCTCCTGCTCTGCCGCACCACTCACCTGCTCTGCTGCACCACTCACCTGCTCTGCTGCACCACTCTCCTGCTCTGCTGCACCACTCATCTGCTCTGCTGCACCACTCACCTGCTCTGCCGCACCACTCTCCTGCTCTGCCGCACCACTCACCTGCTCTGCTGCACCACTCACCTGCTCTGCTGCACCACTCACCCGCTCTGCCGCACCACTCACCTGCTCTGCTGCACCACTCACCTGCTCTGCTGCACCACTCTCCTGCTCTGCCGCACCACTCACCTGCTCTGCTGCACCACTCACCTGCTCTACCGCACCACTCACCTGCTCTGCCGCACCACTCACCTGCTCTGCCGCACCACTCACCTGCTCTGCTGCACCACTCACCTGCTCTGCCGCACCACTCACCTGCTCTGCTGCACCACTCACCTGCTCTGCTGCACCACTCACCTGCTCTGCTGCACCACTCACCTGCTCTGCTGCACCACTCACCTGCTCTGCCGCACCACTCACCTGCTCTGCTGCACCACTCACCTGCTCTGCCGCACCACTCACCTGCTCTGCCGCACCACTCACCTGCTCTGCTGCACCACTCACCTGCTCTGCCGCATCACTCACCTGCTCTGCTGCACCACTCACCTGCTCTGCCGCACCACTCACCTGCTCTGCCGCACCACTCACCTGCTCTGCTGCACCACTCACCTGCTCTGCCGCACCACTCACCTGCTCTGCTGCACCACTCACCTGCTCTGCTGCACCACTCACCTGCTCTGCTGCACCACTCACCTGCTCTGCCGCACCACTCACCTGCTCTGCCGCACCACTCACCTGCTCTGCCGCACCACTCACCTGCTCTGCCGCACCACTCACCTGCTCTGCCGCACCACTCATCTGCTCTGCCGCACCACTCACCTGCTCTGCCGCACCACTCACCTGCTCTGCCGCACCACTCACCTGCTCTGCCGCACCACTCACCTGCTCTGCCGCACCACTCACCTGCTCTGCTGCACCACTCACCTGCTCTGCCGCACCACTCACCTGCTCTGCCGCACCACTCATCTGCTCTGCCGCACCACTCACCTGCTCTGCCGCACCACTCACCTGCTCTGCCGCACCACTCACCTGCTCTGCCGCACCACTCACCTGCTCTGCCGCACCACTCACCTGCTCTGCCGCACCACTCACCTGCTCTGCCACACCACTCACCTGCTCTGCCGCACCACTCACCTGCTGTGCCGCACCACTCACCTGTTCTGCCGCACCACTCACCTGCTCTGCCGCACCACTCACCTGCTCTGCCGCACCACTCACCTGCTCTGCCGCACCACTCACCTGCTCTGCCGCACCACTCACCTGCTCTGCCGCACCACTCACCTGCTCTGCAGCACCACTCACCTGCTCTGCTGCACCACTCACCTGCTCTGCTGCACCACTCACCTGCTCTGCTGCACCACTCACCTGCTCTGCCGCACCACTCACCTGCTCTGCTGCACCACTCACCTGCTCTGCTGCACCACTCACCTGCTCTGCCGCACCACTCACCTGGTCTGCCGCACCACTCACCTGCTCTGCTGCACCACTCACCTGCTCTGCCGCACCACTCACCTGCTCTGCTGCACCACTCACCTGCTCTGCCGCACCACTCACCTGCTGTGCTGCACCACTCACCTGCTCTGCTGCACCACTCACCTGCTCTGCCGCACCACTCACCTGCTCTGCCGCACCACTCACCTGCTCTGCCGCACCACTCACCTGCTCTGCCGCACCACTCACCTGCTCTGCCGCACCACTCACCTGCTCTGCCGCACCACTCACCTGCTCTGCCGCACCACTCACCTGCTCTGCTGCACCACTCACCTGCTCTGCCGCACCACTCACCTGCTCTGCCGCACCACTCATCTGCTCTGCCGCACCACTCACCTGCTCTGCCGCACCACTCACCTGCTCTGCCGCACCACTCACCTGCTCTGCCGCACCACTCACCTGCTCTGCCGCACCACTCACCAGCTGCCGGGGGAACCTGGCCACCTTGCTGCCCACCCACATAGTTCTGACGCATGGACCGTGTACGAAGCAATATAGATATGTGACCGAAGTGTCAGGGTGTAAACACATAGATGTATAAACATAAATATGTATTTAGATAGATATATGTATGCATGTATATACATACACTCATACACTCAATGCAGACACACGCCATCACACACGCGTTCGCATGAGCCCATGCTTCATACACTTGATGCATGACCGAGACACTCAGAGCTTCATACCAGACTTCGCATGGTCGTACTAAGCAAGCACCTGAGAGACATTGGAGAGACACCTGGGATGGGCACCTGAGAGGGGAACCTGAGAGACACCTGAGAGGGGCAGCTGAAAGGGACAGCTGAGAGAAGCCTGAGAGGGACCCCCTGAGAAAATACCTGAGAGGGGCGCCTGAGAGACACCTGAGATGGGCGCCTGAGAAACACCTGAGTGGGGCACCTGAAAGGGGCACCCGAGATGGACACCTGAGATGGGCACCTGAGAGACACCTGAGAGGGTAACCTGAGAGTCACTTGAGAGGGGCGTCTGAGAGACACCTGAGAGGGACTCTCGGCCACCGGCGGTTGCTTTGGCTACCGTAGGGTTACCCTACGTAACGGAAAAACGCTGCTTTGCATTGCCTACGCCGGGGTAGAGTAACGATGTCGGTATCGTTTGCTATCTGGACCGTGAGGGCAGGTGAATGCGACGGTGACCAACACGGTCTGCGACAGAATGCGAAGGATACCTGGGCAGTGTACGACTGCATGCAACGGATACCTGGACGGTATGTGACTGAATGCTGAGCACGCGACCGCCCCCGTGCAGGGCGACGGAGAGAGACGACGTCATGACAACCGCATGGGAAAACGTCATCGTGAGCGGCAGAATTGCAGAAAAACACATAGGTCATTATTTTTGTGTCAAAGGTTGGTGACATCCGTTGTAGTCTAGTCGGTTAGGATACTCGGCTCTCACCCGAGAGACCCGGGAGACAAGTAGGGTCCGCGTCACGCGCTGTGGACGGAGAGCGCGCGCAGCGCGGGGAGGGACTAGGGACGGAAGGAACGCGGCGATAGAGCGGAAAGCTGAGGGAAACTATCGCGATACCCGCCTGGTCCGTTTTTACGCGATGTGGGCGGAGAGCGCGCGCAGCGGCTCTGCGTCCTCCATGATGCTTGACAAGAGAGCTCAGTACACAACAAATAGCATAAATCACGTCGTTGTCAAATACTATAGTACACAACAAATTGCTTATATCACAGGACCAGTAGCATAACTTCTTTCAAACACAAATGTGCAACACCTCGTGGGTTCGATTCCCGCCTGGTCCTTTTCACGGTGTTAATTGTGCTCAGGAAAGTGCCTCACCCGGCCAAAAACAGTTGAGCGTTCTCTTTTTACAGTACATTCAACTCAGCTCTCAGTTGTCAGCTGAGCATCAACTCCCTTATCCTGCAGCACCCCTACACTGTCACCGCTCACCAAGGCACTTTCACCATCTTGCAATCCATCTAAACCATCTACACCGCTTTCAACCGCTTGTGCACGTAACACAACAGGCGGGCTTATAATGTCATCACGGCTCTGAACGAGGCAGAGCTCCAGGCGATTGGGAGTGGGGGGAGTGGGAGAGGACTCGGTGCCGTCCAGAGGTGGAGAGCGGTGCTGCAAGGTTCGTGCGAGCACAGCCTGTAGGGAGAAAGAATGGGAGGAGAGGAGCAATCAGGTCAGAAAGGTTGCAATGCCACGGGTTGCCAATGCCAACTCTGCTGATATAGCTTGCCTCAAAGCCATGGACAGCCCAGTGCCACTGCCAGCTCTGCTGTTGAAACAGAAAAGCTAGACAAACATTGAAAACACAGCAGAGCATCAACAAACACAAGCACGAGGCGCAACAGCAGCTGCTCACCTGTAGGGATGCCACTGCTAGCTCCGCTGCTCTAGCCAAGTCGTGAGGATACTTCTGATGAAAGGAGGGAGAGAGGGAGGGAAGGAGGGAGGGAAAGAGGGAGAGAGGGAGGGAAGGAGGGAGGGAAAGAGGGAGAGAGGGGGGATGGAAAGTGTGTGAGGGAGAGAATGGAAGGAGAGGAGCTGAGAGAATGAGGAGCAGATTGAGTCAATGTAGGGAAGGAGGGAGGGAAAGAGGGAGAGAGGGAGGGAAGGAGGGAGGGAAACAGGGAGAGAGGGGGGAAAGGAAAGTGTGTGAGGGAGAGAATGGAAGAAGAGGAGCTGAGAGAATGAGGAGCAGATTGAGTCAATGACTCAATGTAACCAGAAGAGTGAGATGTAACCAGCACTGTGAGATGTAACACTGTGAGATGTAACCAGCACTGTGAGATGTAACCAGCACTATCAGATGTAACCAGCACTGCACTGTGAGATGTAACCAGCACTGTCAGATGTAACCAGCACTGTGAGATGTAACCAGCACTGTGAGATGTAACCAGCACTGTGAGATGTAACCAGCACTGTGAGATGTAATCAGCACTGTGAGATGTAACCAGCACTGTGAAATGTAACTAGCACTGTGAGATGTAACCAGCACTGTGAGATGTAACCAGCACTGTGAAATGTAACCAGCACTGTGAGATGCAGCACCGTGCTGCAACTGCCCCACTCACATGTGACCATCCAAGCAGCAATGCTGTCATCAAATCTCCTGTTCCCTCCATGTGGGATGGCATGTGGGTTCGAATGTAGGACTGAGACGCAATGAGATGCTTGCCATGCGGCAACGGATTACATGAGACCATCCAAGCAGCAATGCTGCCATGTGATGCTCTGCCGCACCACTCACCTGCTCTGCCGCACCACTCACCTGCTCTGCCGCACCACTCACCTGCTCTGCTGCACCACTCACCTGCTCTGCTGCACCACTCACCTGCTCTGCCGCACCACTCACCTGATCTGCCGCACCACTCACCTGCTCTGCTGCACCACTCACCTGCTCTGCTGCACCACTCACCTGCTCTGCCGCACCACTCACCTGCTCTGCTGCACCACTCACCTGCTCTGCCGCACCACTCACCTGCTCTGCTGCACCACTCACCTGCTCTGCCGCACCACTCACCTGCTCTGCCGCACCACTCACCTGCTCTGCCGCACCACTCACCTGCTCTGCCGCACCACTCACCTGCTCTGCCGCACCACTCACCTGCTCTGCCGCACCACTCACCTGCTCTGCCGCACCACTCACCTGCTCTGCTGCACCACTCACCTGCTCTGCCGCACCACTCACCTGCTCTGTCGCACCACTCACCTGCTCTGCAGCACCACTCACCTGCTCTGCAGCACCACTCACCTGCTCTGCCGCACCACTCACCTGCTCTGGTGCACCACTCACCTGCTCTGCCGCACCACTCACCTGCTCTGCTGCACCACTCACCTGCTCTGCTGCACCACTCACCTGCTCTGCCGCACCACTCACCAGCTCTGCCGCACCACTCACCTGCTCTGCCGCACCACTCACCTGCTCTGCTGCACCACTCACCTGCTCTGTCGCACCACTCACCTGCTCTGCTGCACCACTCACCTGCTCTGCCGCACCACTCACCTGCTCTGCCGCACCACTCACCTGCTCTGCTGCACCACTCACCTGCTCTGCCGCACCACTCACCAGCTCTGCCGCACCACTCACGTGCTCTGCTGCACCACTCACCTGCTCTGCCGCACCACTCACCTGCTCTGGTGCACCACTCACCTGCTCTGCCGCACCACTCACCTGCTCTGCTGCAACACTCACCTGCTCTGCTGCACCACTCACCTGCTCTGCCGCACCACTCACCTGCTCTGCTGCACCACTCACCTGCTCTGCCGCACCACTCACCTGCTCTGCTGCACCACTCACCTGCTCTGTCGCACCACTCACCTGCTCTGCTGCACCACTCACCTGCTCTGCCGCACCACTCACCTGCTCTGCCGCACCACTCACCTGCTCTGCTGCACCACTCACCTGCTCTGCCGCACCACTCACCAGCTCTGCCGCACCACTCACCTGCTCTGCTGCACCACTCACCTGCTCTGCCGCACCACTCACCTGCTCTGGTGCACCACTCACCTGCTCTGCCGCACCACTCACCTGCTCTGCTGCACCACTCACCTGCTCTGCTGCACCACTCACCTGCTCTGCCGCACCACTCACCTGCTCTGCTGAACCACTCACCTGCTCTGCCGCACCACTCACCTGCTCTGCTGCACCACTCACCTGCTCTGCCGCACCACTCACCTGCTCTGCTGCACCACTCACCTGCTCTGCTGCACCACTCACCTGCTCTGCCGCACCACTCACCTGCTCTGCTGCACCACTCACCTGCTCTGCCGCACCACTCACCTGCTCTGCCGCACCACTCACCTGCTCTGCTGCACCACTCACCTGCTCTGCCGCACCACTCACCTGCTCTGCTGCACCACTCACCTGCTCTGCTGCACCACTCACCTGCTCTGCCGCACCACTCACCTGCTCTGCTGCACCACTCACCTGCTCTGCTGCACCACTCACCTGCTCTGCCACACCACTCACCTGCTCTGCCGCACCACTCACCTGCTCTGCTGCACCACTCACCTGCTCTGCCGCACCACTCACCTGCTCTGCCGCACCACTCACCTGCTATGCCGCACCACTCACCTGCTCTGCCGCACCACTCACCTGCTCTGCTGCACCACTCACCTGCTCTGCTGCACCACTCACCTGCTCTGCTGCACCACTCACCTGCTCTACCGCACCACTCACCTGCTCTGCTGCACCACTCACCTGCTCTGCTGCACCACTCACCTGCTCTGCCGCACCACTCACCTGCTCTGCTGCACCACTCACCTGCTCTGCTGCACCACTCACCTGCTCTGCCGCACCACTCACCTGCTCTGCTGCACCACTCACCTGCTCTGCCGCACCACTCACCTGCTCTGCCGCACCACTCACCTGCTCTGCCGCACCACTCACCTGCTCTGCTGCACCACTCACCTGCTCTGCCGCACCACTCACCTGCTCTGCCGCACCACTCACCTGCTCTGCCGCACCACTCACCTGCTCTGCCGCACCACTCACCTGCTCTGCTGCACCACTCACCTGCTCTGCTGCACCACTCACCTGCTCTGCCGCACCACTCACCTGGTCTGCTGCACCACTCACCTGCTCTGCCGCACCACTCACCTGCTCTGCTGCACCACTCACCTGCTCTGCCGCACCACTCACCTGCTCTGCCGCACCACTCACCTGCTCTGCCGCACCACTCACCTGCTCTGCCGCACCACTCACCTGCTCTGCTGCACCACTCACCTGCTCTGCTGCACCACTCACCTGCTCTGCTGCACCACTCACCTGCTCTGCCGCACCACTCACCTGCTCTGCTGCACCACTCACCTGCTCTGCCGCACCACTCACCTGCTCTGCTGCACCACTCACCTGCTCTGCTGCACCACTCACCTGCTCTGCCGCACCACTCACCTGCTCTGCTGCACCACTCACCTGCTCTGCCGCACCACTCACCTGCTCTGCCGCACCACTCACCTGCTCTGCTGCACCACTCACCTGCTCTGCCGCACCACTCACCTGCTCTGCTGCACCACTCACCAGCTCTGCTGCACCACTCACCTGCTCTGCTGCACCACTCACCTGCTCTGCCGCACCACTCACCTGCTCTGCCGCACCACTCACCTGCTCTGCTGCACCACTCACCTGCTCTGCCGCACCACTCACCTGCTCTGCTGCACCACTCACCTGCTCTGCTGCACCACTCACCTGCTCTGCCGCACCACTCACCTGCTCTGCCGCACCACTCACCTGCTCTGCCGCACCACTCACCTGCTCTGCTGCACTACTCACCTGCTCTGCCGCACCACTCACCTGCTCTGCCGCACCACTCACCTGCTCTGCCGCACCACTCACCTGCTCTGCCGCACCACTCACCTGCTCTGCTGCACCACTCACCTGCTCTGCCGCACCACTCACCTGCTCTGCTGCACCACTCACCTGCTCTCCCGCACCACTCACCTGCTCTGCTGCACCACTCACCTGCTCTGCCGCACCACTCACCTGCTCTGCCGCACCACTCACCTGCTCTGCTGCACCACTCACCTGCTCTGCCGCACCACTCACCTGCTCTGCTGCACCACTCACCTGCTCTGCCGCACCACTCACCTGCTCTGCCGCACCACTCACCTGCTCTGCTGCACCACTCACCTGCTCTGCCGCACCACTCACCTGCTCTGCTGCACCACTCACCTGCTCTGCCGCACCACTCACCTGCTCTGCTGCACCACTCACCTGCTCTGCTGCACCACTCACCTGCTCTGCTGCACCACTCACCTGCTCTGCTGCACCACTCACCTGCTCTGCCGCACCACTCACCTGCTCTGCCGCACCACTCACCTGCTCTGCCACACCACTCACCTGCTCTGCTGCACCACTCACCTGCTCTGCTGCACCACTCACCTGCTCTGCTGCACCACTCACCTGCTCTGCTGCACCACTCACCTGCTCTGCTGCACCACTCACCTGCTCTGCCGCACCACTCACCTGCTCTGCTGCACCACTCACCTGCTCTGCTGCACCACTCACCTGCTCTGCCGCACCACTCACCTGCTCTGCTGCACCACTCACCTGCTCTGCTGCACCACTCACCTGCTCTGCCGCACCACTCACCTGCTCTGCTGCACCACTCACCTGCTCTGCTGCACCACTCACCTGCTCTGCTGCACCACTCACCTGCTCTGCCGCACCACTCACCTGCTCTGCCGCACCACTCACCTGTTCTGCTGCACCACTCACCTGCTCTGCCGCACCACTCACCTGCTCTGCTGCACCACTCACCTGCTCTGCCGCACCACTCACCTGCTCTGCTGCACCACTCACCTGCTCTGCCGCACCACTCACCTGCTCTGCCGCACCACTCACCTGCTCTGCTGCACCACTCACCTGCTCTGCCGCACCGCTCACCTGCTCTGCTGCACCACTCACCTGCTCCGCTGCACAACTCACCTGCTCTGCTGCACAACTCAGCTGCGTTGCCAGCTGCTTGTGTGGCCGTCCCTGTTCATCCATGCGCGGGACATGAGAGAGAACAAGGGAGAGAAACAGAAGCAGGAGGAGGGAGCGCAGCGCCATGCCATGCCGCATGGCCCACCAAACCAGCCCCGGGTGCGTTGTGAGTCATTTGACCAATCCCCTCCTCTGTCCCCTTTGTTTTGAGTCATTTGACCAATCCCCTCCTCTCTCCTCTTTGTTTTGAGCCATTTGACCAATCCCCTCCTCTCTACCCTCTGTTTTGAGTCATTGACCAATCCCCTCCTCTCTCCTTTTGGTTTTGAGTCATTTGACCGATCCCCTCCTCTCTTCCCCCTGTTTTGAGTCATTTGACCAATCCCCTACTCTCTCCCCTCTGTTTTGAGTCATTGACCAGTCCCCTCCTCTCTCCTTTTGGTTTTGAGTCATTTGACCAATCCCCTCCTCTCTTCCCCCTGTTTTGAGTCATTTGACCAATCCCCTACTCTCTCCCCTCTGTTTTGAGTCATTTGACCAATCCCCTCCTCTCTCCTCTTTGTTTTGAGTCATTTGACCAATCCCCTCCTCTCTTCCCCCTGTTTTTAGTCATTTGACCAATCCCCTACTCTCTCCCCTCTGTTTTGAGTCATTTGACCAATCCCCTCATCTCTCCTATTCGTTTTGAGTCATTTAACCAATTCCCTCCTCTCTCCTCTTTGTTTCTAGTCATTTCACCAATCCCCTCCTCTCTCTCCTCTTTGTTTTGAGTCATTTGACCAATCCCCTCCTCTCTCCCCTCAGTTTTGAGTCATTTCACCAATCCCCTCCTCTCTCCTCTCTGTTTTGAGTCATTTGACCAATCCCCTCCTCTCTCCTCTTTGTTTTGAGTCATTTGATCAATCCCCTCCTCTCTCTTCTCTGTTTTGAGTCATTTGACCAATCCCCTCCTCTCTCTCTGTTTTGAGTCATTTCACCTATCCCCTCCTCTCTCCTCTTTGTTTTGACTCATTTGACCAATCCCCTCCTTCCTCCCCTCAGTTTTGAGTCTTTTCACCAATCCCCTCCTCTCTCCTCTTTGTTTTGAGTCATTTGACCAATCCCCTCCTCTCTCCCCTCTGTTTTGAATCATTTGACCAATCCCCTCCTATCTCCCCTCCGTTCTGAGTCATTTGACCAATCCCCTCTTCTCTCCCCTCTGTTTTGAGCCATTTGACCAATCCCCTCCTCTCTCCCCTTTGTTTTGAGTAATTTGACCAATACCTTCCTCTCTCCTCTTTGTTTTGAGTCATTTCACCAATCCCCTCCTCTCTCCCCTCTGTTTTGAGTCATTTGACCAATGCCCTCCTCTCTCCTCTTTGTTTTGAGTCATTTGACCAATCCCCTCCTCTCTTCCCCTCTGTTTTGAGCAATTTGACCAATCCCCTCTTCTCTCCTCTTTGTTTTGAGTCATTTGACCAATCCCCTCCTCTCTTCCCCCTGTTTTGAGTCATTTGACCAATCCCCTCCTCTCTCCTCTCTGTTTTGAGTCATTTGACCAATCCCCTCCTCTCTCCTCTTTGTTTTGAGTCATTTGACCAATCCCCTCCTCTCTCCCCTCTGTTTTGAATCATTTGACTAATCCCCTCCTCTCTCCCCTCTGTTTTGAGTCATTTCACCAATCCCCTCTTCTCTCCCCTCGGTTTTGAGCCATTTGACCAATCCCCTCCTCTCTCCTCTTTGTTTTGAGTCATTTGACCAATCCCCTTCTCTCTCTTATTTGTTTTGAGTCATTGGACCAATCCCCTCCTCTCTCTTTGTTTTGAGTCATTTCACCTATCCCCTCCTCTCTCATATTTGTTTTGAGTCATTTGACCAATCCCCTCCTCTCTCCCCTCTGTTTTGAATCATTTGACTAATCCCCTCCTCTCTCCCCACTGTTTTGAGTCATTTGACCAATCCCCTCTTCTCTCCCCTCGGTTTTGAGCCATTTGACCAATCCCCTCCTCTCTCCTCTTTGTTTTGAGTCATTTGACCAATCCCCTCCTCTCTCCTATTTGTTTTGAGTCATTTGACCAATCCCCTCCTCTCTCTTTGTTTTGAGTCATTTTACCTATCCCCTCCTCTCTCCTCTTTCTTTTGACTCATTTGACCAATCCCCTCCTCTCTCCCCTCAGTTTTGAGTAATTTGACCAATCCCCTCCTCTCTTCTCTTTGTTTTTAGTCATTTGACCAATCCCCTCCTCTCTCCCCTCTGTTTTGAATCATTTGACCAATCCCCTCCTCTCTCCCCTCTGTTTTGAGTCATTTGACCAATCCCCTCTTCTCTCCCCTCTGTTTTGAGCCATTTGACCAATCCTTCTCTCTCCTCTTTGTTTTGAGTCATTTCACCAATCCCCTCCTCTCTCCACTTTGTTTTGAGTCATTTGACCAATCCCCTCCTCTCTCCTCTTTGTTTTGAGCCATTTGACCAATCCCCTCCTCTCTCCCCTCTGTTTTGAGTCATTTGACCAATCCCCTCCTCTCTCCTCTTTGTTTTGAGTCATTTGACCAATCCCCTCCTCTCTCCTATTTGTTTTGAGTCATTTAACCAATTCCCTCCTCTCTCCTCTTTGTTTTGAGTCATTTGACCAATCCCCTCCTCTCTCCCCTCTGTTTTGAGTCATTTGACCAATGCCTCATCTCCCCTCCCCTCCCCTCTCCTCCCTCCCTCCCTCCCTCCCTCCCTCCCTCCCCGTGTTTCAGCAGTTGCCAGCGGGGCGTGACAGTGGAGCACGGGGTGGGGCAGGCTGACGCGCACGCCCACGTGGTAAGAGCGAACCAGAACGATGCATGAATGTATGAACACAAAAGCAAAACAATGTACTAGGGCACATAAAAATCATGTGCCTTCTCATTCCCTCAAGGTGCCTTGCCGTTCCCTGCATGATGCCTTCTCATTCCTTGCATGATGCCATTTTCCTCCCCTTTCCAGCAGGTGCCAGTGCAAGGCATAATGTTTTGAGGTGTCACACTCAACACCTCCCCTCTGTCCTCCCGTTTCCAGCAGGTGCCAGTGCAGCGCATGTTGATTGAAGAGGTCTCACTCACCCCGTCCCCTCTTTCCATCCCAATATTTCCTGTTTGTTTGTTTGTTTGTTTGTTTTAGTTTGTTTTGCTTGCTTGTTTGTTGTTCCTGTGTGCATTCTTTGCTCAAGGGGGGGGTGTAAGGGGGCATGGGGAACTGTGAGACGTCCAAGCCACCCTCTCCCCTCCCCTTTCTGCCAGCTGCCAGTGCAGCGCCTGCCCATTTGAGCCTGTCTCACCCACCCCCTCCCCTCTTTCCCCACTTTCCCCCTTCTTCCAGGTGCCTTCTCATGCCCTGCAAGGTGCCTTCGCGTGTTGCACGGTGCCTTCTCATGCCCTGCATGGTGCCTGTTCATGCCCTGGCAGGTGGATTTGCATTCCCTGCATGGTGACTTTCATTTCCTGCCAGGTAAGGGGGTAAGGGGGTTTAGGGTGCTCCCCCCGCTCACTTGCCCTGCTCCCCCCGCTCACTTGCTCTGCTCCCCCACCCCAACTCCTCCCCTCCCCTTGCGCAGGTGCCAGTTTCTCCTGTCGCCAAGATGAAGATACTTTGCACAGGGAGCAGATGCGTTGCCAGCTGCTTGTGTGGCCGTCCCTCATCATCCATGCGCGGGACATGAGAGAGAACAAGGGAGAGAAACAGAAGCAGGGGGAGGGAGCGCAGCGCCATGCCATGCCGCATGGCCCACCAAACCAGCATCAGGTGCGTTGTGAGTCGCCCCAGAGCATGCACTGCACACCTTGCCATATCCCTCACACCTGCCATCCCACCATGCCCTCACACCTCCTGCCATCCCCTCACTTGCCCTGCTCCCCCCGCTCACTTGCTCCGCTTCCCCTCTCCCCCACCCCAACTCCCCCCCTCCCCTTGCGCAGGTGCCAGCTTCCCTCCTGTCGCCAAGACGAAGACACTTGGCTTGCAATGTGTAGAGTGGTAGGGATTGATGAATCTGATTACGTTAGGAACATAAATGTATGTGCTTGTTAGTATATATGCAGGGGGAGGGGGGGAGTGCAGGTTTGGTTTGGGCCAGGTTTGGGATATGAAAGAGTGGCAGAAACGGAAACAGGGAGTAGATGCGTTGCCACCTGCTTGTGTTCAGCCATGCGCAGGGCATGACATGAGGGAGAAGAAGAGAGAGAAACAGACGCACAAGGAGGGAGCGCATGTGCCATTTTCTCCTGTCGACAACATGAGGCTATTTGCTACGACGCGTAGAGTGATAGATGACTTGTAGATTTGATGACCTAGCGAATGTGAATGTATGTGCTTGTTATTATATATGCAGGCGGGCAGAGAACGGGGGGAGGGGTGAGGGAAAAGGGAGGGGAGTGGGGAGCAGAAGCAGAACAGAAGAGGGAGTGGTGGATGAGCTCCTGGCTCTCTGTGCTGTGCGCCCCTCCCTGGTTGGCCATGCCATGCCATGCCATGCCCGGGAGGGATATGATAGATAGGAAGCACAAAGTAGAAGCAGAAGCAGGAATGTGATATGACAGGGAGCAGATATGCATCATGGGCCATGCCCAGGGATTTCCAGGGCGGTTCGAGGGGGGCTGTGAGGGGCTGTGAGGAGAATTGGGGGGTAGGGGGGCCTTAGGGGGGCCTTGGGGGGGCTGTGGGGGGGTTTTTTCCGGATTTTAGGGGGGGTTTTCTTCCCCTCTCTTGTACCCCATTTCTGCTTATTGACCAATCACAAGCAAGCTTTCTGCCATCACCTTTCCGATTACGCTCATGTTGTCGCCTTGCCGCCTGAGGAGGGGGAGGGGAGTAAGGGGGGAAGGGAGAGGAGAGCAGAAGGGAGAGCAAGGGGGGATGAGAGAGACGATATGCGCTGCTTGTTTTGATTTGCACACTGAAGGAGAGTGTGAGAAAAGGAGGGTGTGAGAAGGAGAGTGTGAGAAGGAGTGCCATACAGTGAAGAACTCGGGTACCACTCACCTGCTCTGCCGCACCACTCACCTGCTCTGCTGCACCACTCACCTGCTCTGCTGCACCACTCACCAGCTCTGCTGCACCACTCACCTGCTCTGCCGCACCACTCACCTGCTCTGCCGCACCACTCACCTGCTCTGCTGCACCACTCACCTGCTCTGCCGCACCACTCACCTGCTCTGCTGCACCACTCACCTGCTCTGCCGCACCACTCACCTGCTCTGCCGCACCACTCACCTGCTCTGCTGCACCACTCACCTGCTCTGCCGCACCACTCACCTGCTCTGCTGCACCACTCACCTGCTCTGCTGCACCACTCACCTGCTCTGCTGCACCACTCACCTGCTCTGCTGCACCACTCACCTGCTCTGCTGCACCACTCACCTGCTCTGCTGCACCACTCACCTGCTCTGCTGCACCACTCACCTGCTCTGCTGCACCACTCACCTGCTCTGCTGCACCACTCACCTGCTCTGCCGCACCACTCACCTGCTCTGCTGCACCACTCACCTGCTCTGCTGCACCACTCACCTGCTCTGCCGCACCACTCACCTGCTCTGCCGCACCACTCACCTGCTCTGCTGCACCACTCACCTGCTCTGCCGCACCACTCACCTGCTCTGCCGCACCACTCACCTGCTCTGCTGCACCACTCACCTGCTCTGCTGCACCACTCACCTGCTCTGCTGCAC